TTGGAGCCTCAGGAAATTCTGCTTGGCTCGGATTTTTTGCTAAAATATGGCGCTATTATTAATCTCGATCAAAAGAGCTGTCGGTTGATGGGAAAACAGATTCCCCTCTTGTTTGGTAATAATAATGGTATGCAGCCCTGTGACGTGATCGTGTACGTTGATACAGCTGTTCCACCCCGTAGTGAAGTTTTGATTACAGGAGCAGTGGAGGGAGCGTCTGATAGTTTACAGGGCATGTTAGAACCGTCTTCCTCCCTTTATAACCATTGCGACCTTTTGGTGGCAAGGGTAGTGTGTAGGGTGGAGCAGGGTATTTTGCCCGTTCGTGTAATTAATGTCACTGATGACACTCATATTTTAAAGCGTGGGATGAAAGTGGGTAAGTTATTTTTTGATGTTGTGGTAGAGGGAGAGGACGTGGCGATGGGTAATAGGCCTACATTCCCTGTGGATATGCTTATAGATCAACTAAACTTACATGAAAAGGGCTTTGGGGAGGCTGAAACGCGTGCGGTGCGTGAGTTATTGTGTAAGAATTTGTCCGTTTTTAGTGTAAATGACGCAGATTTAGGGCGGACACAATTAATTACGCATCAGATTGAGACGAAGGATGCCAAACCTATTAAATTGCCCCCGCGCCGTGTTCCCCTTCATCTACAAGATGAAGTGACGGAGCATATTAAGGAGATGCAGGTAAACGGAATTGTACAGCCGTCGTGTAGTCCGTGGGGCGCGCCTGTGGTCCCTGTACGAAAGAAAGACGGGACCCTTCGATTTTGCGTTGATTATAGGCGGTTGAATGATGTAACGCAGAAAGATGCGTATCCGTTACCGCGTATTGATGATGCGTTGGATAGCCTTGCCCATGCTCAGTGGTTTTCCACTCTTGACCTGGCCAGTGGATACTGGCAGGTCGAGGTGGATCCTAGAGATAAACATAAGACCGCTTTTGTAACACGACAGGGGCTATTTGAATTTAATGTTTTAAGTTTCGGGTTGTGCAACGCACCGAGCACATTCCAGCGCCTTATGGATTTGGTGTTGGCGGATTTACAGTGGACCACGTGCCTTGTTTATCTAGATGACATTATTGTTTTTGGGAGAACATTTGGGGAACATCTACAACGGCTGGATGAGGTCCTCTGTAAATTACGGCATGCGAACCTGAAGGTTAAACCATCTAAATGCGCATTGTTTGCCACTCAGGTTCGTTATTTGGGGCATGTTATATCAGCTGATGGAATACGAGCGGACCCAGTTAAAATAGATGCGGTGAGACAATGGCCTGTACCAAAGAATCAAACTGAAGTTCGGAGTTTTGTGGGGCTGGCATCTTATTATCGGCGATTTATTGAGGGGTTTGCTGAAATTGCACGACCATTACATCGCCTCACGGAGAAAGGACGGAAATTTAAATGGGATGGTGAGTGCCAGCGGGCGTTTTTACAGCTTAAAACAGCCCTGGTGACAACGCCAGTTCTTGCGTACCCCGACCCGCACAAGGCATTTATTTTAGACACTGATGCAAGTGATATGGGCATTGGTGCAGTTTTGTCACAAGAGGTGGATGGCTTGGAGCGGGTTGTGGCGTATGCTAGTCGAGCTTTAACGAAACAGGAACGTAGGTATGCCACCACGAAAAAGGAGTTGCTTAGTTTAGTGGTATTTACTAAGTACTTCAAGCATTATTTGCTTGGGAAAGAATTTATATTACGTACTGACCACAGCTCCTTAAGGTGGCTTCATAATTTTCAGGGGCTGGAAGGACAGCTGGCTAGATGGATCGAACAGCTGGCCAGTTTTCAGTATAAAATTGTGCACCGCCCCGGGAAAAAGCATGTTAATGCGGATGCGCTTTCACGCTTGCCATCATTCGGCGCCAAGTGCGAAGGGTTGTCAGATCCACGTTCGGAGGTTAGTGCTTCGGTCTGTGCTGTATGTGAAATTGCTCCTTCAGGGGAGATTGAGGATGAGTTGGTGGGGGCGCAGAAGAAGGATGCCGTTTTACAGATTGTAGAACAACTGTTGTCACGGGGGGAGGAGGGGTGTGCTGAAGCACAGACCAAAGCGGAAGTGAGAGGGTTTTTGCCGGTGTGGGATCAGTTGGAGATTGAGCAGGGGCGGTTAGTGCGTAAACCGCCCCTTAATACAGATGCTGCATCAAAAATTCAGGTGGTCCTTCCGAAGGTGATGGTCCCGGAGGTTTTGAAAATGTTGCATAATTCTGCTACGGGCGGTCATCTAGGGGTGCAAAAATTGCAGGCGAAAGTGAAAGACCGGTTCTATTGGCCTGGGTGGTTTGAGGATGTAAAGAAGTGGTGTAGGGAATGTGCAGAATGTGCATCTCGTAAATCTTCAACGCTGAACGTTCGTGCCCCTTTGCAGCCTTCTTTTGTTTCTCGGCCTTTTGAACGTGTTGCGGTAGACATCTTGGGCCCTTTGCCCTTAACTGGAGAGAAAAATAAGTATATCCTGGTAATTGGGGATTATTTCTCGAAGTGGACAGAAGCGGTCGCGCTTCCAAATCAGGAAGCAGTGTCCATAGCGAAGGTTTTGGTACAGGAGTGGGTGTGTAGATTTGGGGTCCCACGCAGTATTCATTCGGACCAAGGTCGAAACTTTGAATCAAAGTTATTTACAGAGTTGTGTGGTTTGCTGCAGATGCATAAAACAAGAACTACAGCTTATCATCCGCAGTCGAACGGGATGGTGGAGCGGTTTAATCGTACTTTGCTTTCCATGCTATCTTTGTTTGTGGATAGTAACCAGCAGAATTGGGACACACTCCTGCCATATGTTATGATGGCTTATAGGAGCAGTACACATGCTACTACAGGGTTTTCGCCATATAAGGTTCTGTTTGGACGAGAGATTGTTTTGCCAGTGGATGTTGTGTTGGGAGTAGGGGAGACAGAACGTTTTGATTCGGCAAATGAGTATGTGGAGAAAGTGGCTGAAAGCTTGTCTTCGGTAGTAGAGGCTGTAAAAGCTCATCAACTGAAAGCATCAGGAAGGCAGAAACGATATTTTGATGTAAAAGTTTCCCATCAGTTTTATACAGAAGGAGAATTGGTGTGGGTGAAAAATAAGGTGCGTAAGCGGGGGCTGTGTCCGAAGTTACAAAGGCATTTTGTCGGGCCGTTTGTAGTCATTGAGCGGGTTACGGAGGTCCTGTATCGAATAGCCCCAAAAGGAAAGGGGTTTGAGCGAGTTGTGCATTTTAATCGTCTTAAACCGTATGTTTCTACTTTACCTGCAGGAAGGCCGGAATTGCAGAGTGTTGGGGGGGGTCGAATGTCGGCTGTGGATGGGGAAAGGAGTATGCTGCACCCTGACCCTGCACTACTGGCTGATTCTACACTGCACCCTGACCCTGCACTACTGGCTGATTCCACACTGCACCCTGACCCTGCACTACTTTCGGACGCTGCGCTGTCTCCTGACCCTGCGCTGGATGCTGTGATGCCTTCTGTTTCCACCCTGTTGCCTGCCCCTATAGTGGATGTGCCTGCAGCCCTTTCTGGTGACAGCTCTTGTGTGGCTGTACCTATGGAATCTGTAGGCCGCGAGTCGTGTTATGGGACAAATAATGGATTTGCTGAAGGACGGTTGTCGCGGGCTAGGAAGGTACCGGCCCGGTTGTTGGACTATGATTTATCGGCTTGACTCGAGGACGAGTCCTTTTCGCCCGGGAGGGGGGTAGTGTGATGAATAAGGAAATGATTGGAATTTAGGTGGGATTAATGTACACGCCCCTCTTAATCTAAACGAATGAGTGTTGCGTAATTAACTTAAAGGGTACAGCTGATGTGGGAGGAGTTGATGATTATTTAAGGATGTTGTGAGTACTGCTCGAGAGAGATTCGGGGGAGCTCTCACTTGTGGGGAAACGCCAGACGGCCGCTCGGGATGATTAGTGTCTCCGGCGGTGAAGATAGACAGTCAGTGGGGGGTAAATGTGACAGATAGTTAGGGACGCGACTTCGGGCTAGGAGAGCTCCTACTCTGTGTGATAATTGCAAACAATAGAGAGTTTGGAGAACCTGGTACGGTCAGCCGAGTGACGCGACCGAAAGGCTCCTGGGTATCCTCTTTGCTGGACCTCTTGGATCCTCTTGAGTCTGCCTGCTGACCAATGGACTGAACGGAGATTTCCTGTGTATCCTTCTCGCCAGGACGTGAGCTCGTCTGCTTGTGGATCAATATACTGAGCAAGGGGGGTAATGTGTTTTATGAGCTGACATTGTTTTAACCATTAATAAAGAGTTGTGTGTTAACTGCCATCCTAGTGTGCTGGTCTCTGCCTCTCCCGAATACTGTGCGGTTGTTACAGTATCATAGCAACGCTAACTTCCGCTGAAATTGTCGGATAGGAACCGTCCGTAGCTTTTCGCAAGAGTTCAATTTTTTGAACGCATCCGGATGACCAACGGACACGATTTCCTTCGCACCGCACTCGGTCGGACCCGTTTCGGACCCATTCGCATGCGGTCTGCGAATCTCCATAGGAAATGAATGACTTCCGGTCGTTTCGGAGCCGTATCGGAGATGATTTCAACTGCCAGTGTGAAGGCGGTGTTAGGCTCTCTATTCTATTGCGGTTCCCCATCCAGGATTTTCTGACCACTGAGCTCATAAAATTGTGATCTTCATGAAATTTAAATCTATAACTTATTTTTATTTTTAAATAATAATGAATTTAAATTCAATAATAATACAAATATCAACAGAAATAGTTCACAAGTGAAAGTGGAAAAATGCGAAATTCATTATATTTTTATAAGGTTCAAATTATTTACAATTTCAAGGGGTAACTTACTTCAACTGTTCACAGGGGTTCATCAAACAAAAAGGTTGCAAATCCTAAAGTTCTTTGTTATTTCAAAATGAGGCTATTATTGTGTGAAGCTACCTCTAAAGACCATGCTAAAGACCAATAGGGGGCTCAAGAGTTTTTAAAAACAATTCTGCGTCACCACAAATGGGAATTACGACATGACGCGCAGAGCCGCGTCATCCGCGTATTTTAATTCACGTATTGTTGGTAACTAGCGTGATAAAAAAATGGCGTCTACATGGAAAATACATTTAACGATGGTTTATCTGATCGTCTTGTGTATCCTGACCAATACCCAATCGAAACAAATAACCACGGTGGGTGATATTTCATATATTTTGAGGCAGTTTAATGTATTTCTGTTGCATCACATGTGTAACTTAGCTACACAAACTGCGTATCCGATAATAAATAACGGACAAGTTTTTAGACATTAATTTGGTTTATAAAGATGCTTAAACCATGGTTTGTCTGTCACTGACACATTTAACGTTAAGCAAATATAATATTCACGGTTTAACGTTATTTACCCAAAGCAGTGGCCAGCAGCTTTGAAAACTTCAGGAAAAGACTGTCAAGTCAGAATCATGTAAACAAACGCGTTTGTTATTATATATGTTGTTTATTTCACAGGAGACCATCGTGTTAAATATGACAGCGGTTAGTGAAAATAGCCAGACAAAGTACAGTGTACAGGTAAGAAGTATTTTGGGGAATAGTGTATTAGCCTACATCCATACAAATGTTTTGTGAAGGAGTGATCATTTAAAATTATTTCTCATTCTTTCAGATTAATTTGAATATAGGTTTCTTGGACAATGAAACATTTATTAATGGAGCACCTCTCAAGTCTACAGGTGTCACAAGGATGACGTGCCCTGCATTTTTGTGTATGCATCTTTTTTAATTTATCAATCAAACGTATTTTTAAAGTCTATTTAAGAGAAACAGTAACCATGCTCATGTTTATTACTGTTCTTTGTGTTTGCAGTGGATGGTTATAATGTGAGCTCTGGTAATCCGGCGGATGTGTTGGTCAGCAGTGAGCTGAGGCTGATGATCAATCAATCATACGTTCAGAATGATGCTGGAGAGCAGGTTCTGTTACTCCTCCTGAGTCAGGAGATAATCCAGTTGGCAGATGAAAAGGTTTTAACCGTTACCCTATAAATGATGACTGACGTAATTTAATTCTCTGTTATATGGAGTAATTTTAAACAAAATGACAGCTTTAATGCTATGAAAAGAAACCAAACTCCAGCTTGAGGCAGTGCACATGAATGTGATCAAGCACTTGATGTCGTATTTTGTAGGTTCAGCAGCCTGACGTGTGTGAGGTGGAGATCCGGTGGAACCAGAGCTCTGAGAAGATCACACAGGTCACCAATATTTACCCTTTATCAAGAAGCAAGCTCTCCGTCATTCCACAAGAGAATGACGTCTTGGTTACTGATGCGTCCATACACAATACAGGTAGATTATATGGCATAAAATGCCTCTTTGTAATCTGAAAAGTGACTGTGGTGCTTTAACTGAAAGAATTTCGATGTATTGTTTTCTTCACAGTTGAAGACCAAGTGCGTAACACCACTAGCCACTACCTACTCAAACATGCAGAGACCACCCAGGAGGAGATTGCAGCTCCAGGGAAACTTCCTGAAACACCCTTGCGGATGGACCCTGAAACCCTGTATGAGTCCAGAGAGGAAGAGGAAAGGACTTCCGATTCAGTGCTGCTTGGGGTTCCTCCAAGTGGGTCCATATCCTCTTACAATGTAAGTGCTTCTGCACCACCACTGTGAACTCTTGGGGTATATTAAAGGAGAACTCTGGCGCAAAATGAACCTTTGGTCTAATTACACATTGTTACCTAGTCAACCGTTATCTGAGATTTGTTTTCATGATTATCGAATGTAAATAGTTTTATCTCTACAAACAGTTTAGCCTATAAAGCTAGTATAACGCTAGTATATTGGGCATAGTGTAATGACAAATAAAAATCGCTTGTTAATACCACTAACAAGGCTGAAAATAGCCCCACACTAACACGGTAGCATAATGAGGGTCCCTACCTTCAAACCGAAGCATTGAGAACTTTGTCAGTGTCCAGACAGTTTAATAAGAAGATATTTTAAACATACAGTCAACTTCGCTTATACAGGCAGGAGCCATCTTTGAAATACAGTCTCTACCAGTCGATCTACGAACGCCGATCCAAGCCTGCTGTTCGCGCTCACCTTATCACAACTTATAGCTCGTTCACATTCTCACCAGCGCACTTGGATCGGCGTTCGTAGATCGACTGGTAGAGACTGTATTTCAAAGATGGCTCCTGCCTGTATACGCGAAGTTGACTGTATGTTTAAAATATCTTCTTATTAAACTGTCTGGACACTGACAAAGTTCTCAATGCTTCGGTTTGAAGGTAGGGACCCTCATTATGCTACCGTGTTAGTGTGGGGCTATTTTCAGCCTTGTTAGTGGTATTAACAAGCGATTTTTATTTGTCATTACACTATGCCCAATATACTAGCGTTATACTAGCTTCATAGGCTAAACTGTTTTTAGAGATAAAACTATTTACATTCGATAATCATTAAAACAAATCTCAGATAACGGTTGACTAGGTAACAATGTGTAATTAGACCAAAGGTTCATTTTGCGCCGGAGTTCTCCTTTAAATGTGGTATAGATACTTCTTTAAAGTTGGCATGAAACATATCTGAGTGAAGCGGCTTCACAAACGAAAACAATTTAGGGCAGGACTTGACTTTGTCCGTCGGGAATTGATTGAATTGTTGGATGTTTGTAGTTTGCTATTGCTGTGATGTCATGTGAGTGACAGGTTGCCCCACCCTCGCGCCAGTAAACATGTCATCAGAGAAGAGATGTTGCTGCAAGAGGGAGGGGACGTTATTTTGATTAAATATTATGAGGGCAGATTAATAATAATGAAATGGTGATGTGCACGGATACATCTTCTATAGTAAATACTGTAATATTCCATTCCATTTTTTTCTAATTTCCTCTTTCTCAGTAGTGTCATTTTCACAGACCCGTTGCAATTATTGTTATTTGGGCAGGTGGCGTGCCAGTGGGTTGAGGAGCTGAGGGATAAACTTCGGCGCTTCTGGTCTGATTCAGTCCCGCTCTTCTTCTTGATCATGTGGGTGGTGGTGGTAGGCGTTGCAGGCTCCGCTATCATCATTAAGATCCTGGATGTTCTGTTCCCCTCCTGTGAACACAGGTACAACTTGCACCAACCTGGTACTGGGTCTCTCAACAGACCCTATAATAAATGCACGGCCATATAGGTGATATTCGAATGATATGATTCGAAGCACTGAGTATTATTATAACTCAATCAGGGTTTTTTGTTCATTTGGTACTATAGACCTGTCCTGAGCACATCTGGATTAGATCTCATCTCAAGAACCAATTAGAAGTGGCGTTTTATGCATTCTGCTAGATAACATGTATGACTAATATGCAATATTTTTATTTTCTGTCTTTCATAGGGGATTCTTTCTTCTGAATCCAGAGACTCTGATGCCAGATGATGAAAAACAGAGTCTAATAGATAACATGGAGGGAGAAATACCAGAAAAAAGCATTTTGATAGAAAAGTGATGGACGTGTTCTCATCAGTTTGGCTATGTGGCTTTATTTGGTTGACAATACCTTCAGTGTAGCACTTTAAAAGAAAAAAAAAATCTCCAACATATTTCTATTTTCACATCTGCATCTGTGTGAAAGCATGGTCAGACTTTTTTTATTCTTGACTACACTGTGCTTGGGGAAAATAAGGATGAGGTGGAACGGTAAAGGTGCACACTTTTAAATAAGCATAGTACCTAAAATGTCCCTGCTTTGTCCCCCACTGACTAAACTGTTTGTTTTACGGTAATACCGTGAATTACCTTTGCCTGATAAATGGAAATAACACGAAAAGGTGAAGGGTATGACACTAAAGGGGAAAAAAGAATCCATCAAGGTTAATGTAATTAACCATCAAGATAATTTTAACAACTTATTTATATGGATTTTTTTCCTCATTTCTTACTGTTTTTATTGGCCTGTATGAAACTGCCCATGTTGCTTAATCTGATATTCATGTTGCTTGAGATATTGCAGTTAGATTAAGCATCAATACCAGCAATACATTTCAGCTTTGACCTGCACGAGTTAAATGAACACGTTTTGGTTTGGGCAGTGGGTCAAACGTTTCAGTCATTTTAAGCATTTCAACTGGAAATGTACATTTCATGTAGCCTTGTCATTGGTTGTTAATGAAATCTGTAATTTGTGTCATTCTGAAGCATGTTATGACTTGTTTTCTTCAGTTTTAGTAAATTCTTCACAAATTAGTTTAAATCTCAGTGATTTATTTGAAATAAAAACAACAGTCCTGTTCAAATTTAAAAAATATTTATTCAACAAAATATATCATTTTTCAAATTGAGCATGTCAATGGAATGTCACTAATGAAATAAACCAGAAACTGGTTCTCCATGGTGTTCATAAAAGTCAAGCTCTGAACACACCTTTAAGACACTGGTCTCATCACTTAAGACAATTGTCCAACTCTGGAAACTTTGGCCTTTAAATCAACCATAGTGGCACAGCAGCATTTCATTAGCTCTTCACTTAATGGAGCATTTGGAGATCGAAGGGTTTGCTGGTCTTTGGTCAGTGGCAGTGATTTTACAGGAACAGACAAATCAAGCAAATAAAAAAAACATGCCCACAACCTCAGTACTATTGTCTGTACACACTATAATAGAGCAACACAGTGAGTTTGTAATAAGAGCACTAAAACCATTTTGGATTTTCTGGATATTAGTTCTGCCTTTATCCTTACAAATTCATTTGAACATGAGTGAATATAACTTGTATCCAGTTAACCAGCGCTGAAAGTCCTGTACATGTTAAATCCAACCTATTACTAATAAATATCAAACTATTAATCTGTACAGCCATACAAACACACTTCATTTATAGCAAGATTTATCTAGGCTCTTTGAATTCAGTCTGGTCCAGAATGGAAATGCACTATGAGATTTAGTGAAACTGGTCTTCAGTCTTTCAAAGTGCTAACAGCGATTGTGAAGAAAAAACAAAAAAACAAAATCAAGGTTCTTTGGCATAATCAACAGGAGCCAAACTCCGTTATCCACTGCTTGTATTTCTCTATATCAGCAGCAGATACAGACTTGGACACTTTCTTCAGTGCCGCCTCAAAGTCCTCCATTGTAGTGGGCATGTGCATGTCATCTTTTGATAAGTTCCGTATCTCCTCAGGGGTCAAGCCCTCAATCCGCCTTCTCATTGCCATCAGGGACGCATCTCTGCAATTATTTAAAAACATGTTCTAGAACTGTGGCACTTTAAACATTGAAAATAATTTCAGGCTCAACTCAAAGTCATAATAAAGTGATAGCTACACCTGCAAACGTTGGTGATGTCAGCACCAGAGTACCCCTCCAACTGCTCAGCGATCTTGTCCATGTTGACATCATTGGCCAACTCAAGCTCCTTCAGACTGATCTTGAGTAACTCCACTCTGCCTTTAGCTACGGAAATACATAATGTGATTTTAAATACATTTGTTCAATTAGATTTACTGGTCTTGAGCTGAGATGGATTAAGCTGATGGCATGTAGCCTAATATGGTATGATGAGTGATGAATTCTGGGTAATTCTGAACACCTGAGGGCAGTGGGATATAAATTCTCTTCTCTAGTCTCCGTCTCAGAGCTTCATCAATGTCCCAAGGGAAGTTGGTGGCTGCCAGAACCATAACCATTTTTGAAGGGTCATATTCAGACGTCCCTCCAACACCTGGACAACAAAAGAAGTGTATTTGTTGATTTTTCCCTCAATAAAAGAATCTTGTTCAATCAAAGCTGTACAGTTACAGTTTGCATGTAGAAATACCATCCATTTGGACGAGTAGTTCAGCTTTGACACGTCTGCTGGCTTCATGTTCTTCTGAGGTTCCTCTGCGGCTACATATGGAGTCTATCTCGTCGATGAAGATGGTGGTGGGGGCATAAAACCGTGCCTGTATAAACATGCAAACATGTACAGTAATAAAACAGAAAGCAAGTTTGGCTAACATTTTACATGTATTTATGAGGGGTAATACAGGAAGTGTGTGTGTGATTTTACCATCTCAAACAGCAGCCGTACAAGTTTTTCAGACTCTCCTCTGTATTTGGAGGTGAGGGTGGAGGAGGACACGTTAAAAAATGTGGTTCGGCATTCGGTGGCAACAGCTTTGGCCAGCAATGTCTTTCCTGTGCCTGGAGGCCCCACCATCAACACTCCCTAAAATCATATGCGAGTTCAGTTATTGTGTTCATGAAAAATACTGTGTATAAAGCAGCAAAGATCACCACAAAAGAGCATGGTAACACACATGAAAGTATGTTACATTGCTGTTAAATAATACGGTACCATTCAAAAGTTTGGGGTCAGTAAGATTTTTTTTGTGGAAGAAATGATTAATTTTATTCTGCAAGGACGTATTCATTTGTTCAAAAGAATAAACAAATCTTGACCATAAAGACATTTATAATATTACAAAAGATATCCATTTTAAATAAATGCTTTTCTTTTAAACTTTCTATTTATCAGAGAATCCACTTATTTTAAATTAAGAATCACAACTGGTTTCAGCTGATAATAATACAAAATGTTTCTTCTTGAGCAGCAAATCAGCATAGAATGATTTCTGAAGGATCATGTGACACTGAAGACTGGTAATGTAATGATCAGTGTTGGGGAAGTTACTTTTAAAAAGTAGTGTAACTCGTTACTCGTTACTTCTTTTAAAAAGTAATCCGTTACTTTACTTAGTTACCCCATATAGAAAGTAACTTTTTACGTTACTCGTTACTTTTACGTTACTTTTATGTTGCTTGACTTTGGGCAGAACCCAATATCTGTTCCTAAATGTGTAGGCCTACATAAAGTTCTACTATGCATAAATGCCATATATATGCATTATGCATTTATCAAAAAAAATTATATTTATGAAGAAATACCGGTTAATGGATAGGCATATGCATGGGCGGCGCTAGGGAGGGGCTAGAAAGAAAGCCCCCAAGAAAGACCAAAGCACCCCGTTAGCACCCCCAAAAATCATTTCTGGAAGTAAATTATATTCAGGCTGTATTCTATGGAAGTCCTGAACCGAATGGTGAAGAAAAAAAAAGAAAACTTATCTTGTTATTTAGACATAATAAGGGGACATTCTAATCTGCATTAAGCCAAATTAAGCGTTCTTATAATGGTTTTCCTATGGGAGGAAAATGCTTAACGTGTAAGTAAACACGTTGCGTTCATATTCTGGGCTTATCAGATTTTTTGTACATAGTATAGCCTACTTTATTATGATTTTATATCATAATGATTAATAAATGCACGCACAATTATCCGTGAACTTGATAAATGTTGCAGATATGTTTTACTATGCACGTAAACAAATGCCTTTCAACTTATGTGTGCAAAATTCAGAATTAAATGAATGTGCAGCAATATACAAATAGAGAGTCTGTAGGCCTACTATAGCCTACGTGTTGTAGCTAAATAAGCGCATTTAGTTTCATATTTGTTAAAATATTATAATGTTATTTTTTTTTCCATCTATGCTGATTATGAAAAGTGAACAGCGCGAGTAAGATGGATGCGCAATATATCGGGAGACATTAAGTCAATCAGACATGATTTTGACCACTTCATTAAGTTTTGTTTTGAAGAAAGCCTTTCTTTAAAGCGAATTTCGTTTTCTATAAATTGTATCTTAACTTTAATCAATTTTTTTATCAACCAAATGCCTGCAAGTAAGAAGCAAATATAGGAGTCAATATAATCATGGAAGCGCCGGCGTGGTCACTTGCATTGCACGTGAACTGGAGCATCTCATCATAAATTAACCGAAACTCAACGTATAGAATTTAATCTTGAAATGTCTTTAAACTAAACAATTCAAAACGAAAAGAAATAGGCTACTCTCTGATTATGTAATCCATTATGTGCATTTCTCTCTGGTGCGTTCACTACGGAGATGGCGATCGCGGTCAAATCTATCAAATGACGGAGATCGCTGTCAAATCCCAGGGACAGATAATCTGTCCCTGGGGAAAGTAACGTTGCGCCGAATTGAAAAAGGAACTGCGTTTCGTTACCAAATTTTCAGTAGTAGCACGTTACACTACTTTTTACCCGAAAAAGTAGTTACGTTACTGTAACGCGTTACTTTGTAACGCGTTACACACAACACTGGTAATGATGTTGAAAATTCAGCTTTGCTATCACAGAAATAAATGACATTTTAAAATATATTTAAATAGACAGATATTTTTGTAATAATATTTCACAATGCTACTGTTTTACTCTTTTTGATCAAATAAATGCAGCCTTGGTGAGCATAACAGACTTCTTTCGAAACCATTAAAAAGTCTTACAGACCACAAACTTTTGAGCAGTAGTGTATGAACATGAATAATGTACCAAAGTACATTAATAAGAGAAAATGCATTTTCAAGGGCACCAATTACAGAACACAATAAGATGTGAAGTTTTGGGATGGAACTTTGTGAAATCCATAAAGCACACGTGATTTTCTTTGGGGGTTCTTACTTTCCACGGGCGTCTTATTCCTTTAAAGAATTCAGGCATCCACATGGGTAGAACCACTGCTTCCTTCAGCAGCTTCTTGGCCTCCTCCAGGTCAGCAATGTCATCCCTATAACAAAAAATAAACACCATTATGTATGATGATCTTACTACAAAAACAGGTAATTTGAGAAAACAAATGAGAAATGGAAGCACTTTTGAAGAAAGAACTCACCATGTGACATTGGGGTTTTGGGAGATGATGTCTCTCTCCAGAATGTCAATCAGGTCTTTGTCTTCTCCTCCTCTGTCAAACCTCTTCACCTCCGTCTCCACACTCTCCGCTTTGTTCTACAGGGAGGGAGCAGAGAGTTGTCAAATCTTTTTTTTAACTATGATTGATTTGCCAGAGTCTTTTCCTCTGAATTAGACACTGTTGCAAATGGCTTTGAAAAAGGCACAAATCAAACATTACATTGAGCTTCAAACGAATGAAGTTGCAAGACAAATACAGTAAACTTTTTGTTCACTGTTGTTTCAAAACCAAGGTGCTTATAGTCAAGAGTACAAAGGAAACACTTGCCATGTTTACATGTTTTAAACTCTTTCTAAGCTGTTTGCTTTGATGTAAGAAACTGGTAACACAGGTTAATATGGTAAATATTGTTAATACAGCGTAATCTGATCCTATGAGTAAATGTTGTGAATGTGAGCAGTTTGAAGACATAATAGCAGACAGTGATGGGCTATGGATCCTTACCTTGTCATCTTTTGGCTTGGACGGGTTCTCTTTCTTTTCTTTGCCTCTCTGAGGTTTTCCCTTGTCTCCATTGGTGACGCGCGGTGAGGGTCGTGGCTGGCCGCGAGGGCCGGCGCTCAACCTGTTTCCATGGCCCTTGCCATCTTTGTACGGCCCAGAGGATTTGCGCACTACACATGGAGATGACCTGTTCACACAAGCACACAGACACATAGTATCAGGACATACAGTGCTGACTGAAGGGGCCCTTTAACAATATTATTCATTAAATTTTGCTAAATGGAATAAAATGTCTGTAATTAATGGGGCTGTAATCTCTCATTCAAATGTTACTTCATAATCAGATTATGGTTTATATAACAGGCTCAACAGACCTTTAATAGCCTCAAGGGAGGCATGAAAAAGAGTATGAGGGACTGCGAGACGGTGGGAGGCCGTTCAGATCTTAATCTAGCTCACATAACAAGAGTGCTGATGTGGGCTTTAAAACTCAACAACTACTAAAGACAGCAGTCCCACAAAATGTGGTCAATGAATTTCCTTTGCTTTCCATTTATTTGAAATACTGTATAAAAAGAAATCATGCAAGTATAAATTGAAATAAATAGTACAAATTTAATTATTTATTTACATCTATATATTTTTTTTAAATTATTTATTACTTTACAAATGTCTCCAATAAGACAAAAAGTCCTAAGCAATATCTAACTGATTAAATGAGCATAATTAAAAATGTACGTATATTCAGTAAGGATATTTCCATGATCTTTCTGATACTTTTAAAATGTTATTATTAATGCCCATTAATATTAGTTTCAGGCCTGGAAATAAAAGATTTTAAACTCTCAGTTTTATTTCCCAAGGTATCCATGATCTCAGGGATTTTTTTCAAGGTTTTCAAGACCCTTGATCGTCGGAACTCGAGTGAAAAGTCAAACAGAAAAAAATGTGAAATAGGTGGTTCACATCTGAAACCCATATTGGGCTACGGTTGAACAAAAAAGGTAGATGTCTTACACACTGAAATTGAACATTTTATGACAACCAAGAGCATGCAAAATTTCAACCCCTTCATTAGGCACAATCCATCAGGTACCTGAATAAAACCCAACTGGTCCAAACTCTGCAAAGTCAATACAACACAAAACACCACATATGTTCAAACACAGAGTTCTTACTTTAAATGTACACCATTTAACAACTATTGGATGCAGAAAATATGTACACAAGAGTAAAAGAGTTTGTGAGATCTGTGTGTGTCTGTGATGACTGTCAGGACAGGAGTGTTTGAACGTGCTGTGTACCTGTGCTCCACGTGAACAGGCATGATGTCATTCTCCTGGCCAAAGCTGCTGGGTTTGGATGGGGTCGACTCCAGCTGGAAGCTCTCAAGTGTTGCCATGATCTCCCGAACTTGTTTTGTCTCTTCATTTATCTCCTGCCAAACCTTGATGAGACACATAAACGCACAAAGGCCAGTTACAACAAGTTGAATGCATAATAGCCTGAATCATAGACTGGAGGAACTACAACCTGCTGCCATTTCTGCTGTAGAGAGGAGTCTCTGACTGAGTAGAGGTACTTTTTGATCTGTTCCAGGACCCCCTGATAACAGACCACTGCAGAGCTGTAGTTCCCCAGCAGCGCATATTCTCGAGCCAGCTTCACATTCTCATTGATCTCCCCCAGACTCATTCTGCAAGAGGAACAGCTGAAGATGTGTGGAAATATGTTTGGTTATACTTTATTTTGATGCTCCGTTTAACACGGTTGACTACAAGTAACGTTGCACGTCAACTAACTCTCATTAGAGTGTTAGAAGAGTATTAGTAGACTGTTAGGGTTAGAATAAGTTGACATGTAACGTTAGATGTAAAGTTACTTATAGACAGTAGAATGTCTTTTGGGGTAGCAAGTGTTAGCAGATATGAAGCAAACAGTCTACTAATACTCGAATGGGGTAACGTTAGTTGCAAAGTTGCTTCTAGACAACAGACTTTGCAAAAGGGACCATCAAAATAAAGTGTTACCATAATAGATTGGCATGTGCACTATATTTGTATGCTAAAAACAGATGAAATCAAAATATGTTAGACATCAGCCAATCACACAACTACAAATTTGGGAAAAATACAACAATGCATGAACGTTTCAGCTATTACCAGGAAAATGCGCCAAACATTTAACAGTATGAGCTTACGTCAAAAGAAGCTTACGTTTAGCAATTTGTGTAACGTTAGTTAGTCATGAACAAACCTGTAAGTTACAGTGATCCGCCTCTTAAGTTACGTTAAGTTATCCTGAAAAAGGTACAACATACAACTATTATTAGGGGTCAAAACTCCTGCGTGGGGCTTTGGACGAGGATTATATTTGAAATAACTTAGGATCCACACACACTCATGAGTTCCCTTCAGTAGTGAAGTTAACTTGTTTGGGAAGGGCACTTAAAATTGTGAAGCCGGAAGCAAATGTATAAAGTACCCTCGCGGTCCTACTTTTCAACATAAAAGTCAATAGAGCTAGAATCTCTTTTCAAAATAAAAGTATTGGGCGATATAATATTCAATAATATAAACTAAATATATGAACAAATATATATACATGAAGTAAAAAATATATATAGCAAAAATAATGTAACTAGTGGAAAATAATGCAATAAAACATTGTTACAATGTTGTGCACATGCAGACAGCAATATTGCCATTGTAAAATGCAACTAACATAAACATCAACATTGTTAAAAGGTATGGCTATGCTGAGGAAATGTTGTTCTCTCTTGTTTTCTGGGTAGAAGTCTATATGCTACAATAAACGTTTTAAATAAAACTGTTTAGTCAGTTGCCATAAAACCCCCTAAGAGAATTAGTATTGCCAAGATATGGGTTCCATTAGGAATGTTTTTCCACAACAAAATATACACTCATACCTCAGCTTCAAAATTCACGTTTGAGGTGATTCACTTTGTACATTTCAAGTTATGTTATTCACAGATCTAAATTTATGTGAATTAGTCTTCCAAATGTTATTATGAACAGCTCTTTGTAACTAACATTTAAACAATAAAAAACATTCCCTAGCGGCTGTTCATTACAAAATCAAAATTCAGACCATAATGAAAACATGTCCAAAATGTTTTATTGTTATTTCCACGGTTATCAGCAATTTATTATTTCATGAACCGAGATGAGTAAGATGACAGGACACACACCAGGTTACTGTTGCATTTGGACAATGTGTACATGATGAAATAGTTTGTTTTTTGATCCTGCTTTCTCTGATGCAGAATGCACAGACCGAGCAGAAAAGTGTGTGCAAAATGTAACTGAATCAAAATACTTCAAAATTAAATGTTCAAAACTAGACATGTCTAGTAAGAGATGCAGCTATGAGTTTAAATATCTAAGGTCTGTAGGATATAGAACAGTGTTGGTTGAAATCACAGACAATTTAGAAGATTCTTCAAAAGTTTTCTTCACTGGCAGAAATTGTGCTCCTGGTTGTAGAAGAAATAACCAGTGATTCAGTAGTCAGAATCCTTTCAAATGTACAGTGCTGATGAGTTCATCAGTTTCCATTGAGAACCGTCTAGATGGGAATGTGGGTTTTTGTAAAGGCACATTTTTTTCTGGATAACCATAAGAGGGTCTGAAGGGTGAATACTGACATGCAGATGTACTTTTGATATTTGCATATGATATTATCAAACATTGGCAGTGCCATTCACACTAAATTTGTTCATTCACATTTACAAACTGGATGCAAACAGGACAAGAACAGGGGTGGGAAATACTGCAAGGATTGGAGGTATCTCAGTCAACATTCAGTCAGTCAAACTGAAGTTTTTCCCATACACAGGCATCACATTTCCTTGCAGATAAAAAAAAAAAAAAAAAAAAAAAAAAAAATCAATAAACAATAAAAAATAAAAGATGTGCAAAGTTGATTGATGGTAACAACAAGAGAAAACTATTCCAAGTGATTGCGGTGATGAAAAGGAGAAACCACTTCAATCAAACTACAAATTCAATAAAATAACAAAATTAAGAAAAAGGCACATGTACAGCAGCCTGTCTAATGTCTTTTGTGTGTGTATTGATGTTTGGGAAGGACTAGCAGCAGCGGAACTTAAGTTTTACAGTTGTGTCTTCTGGCCCCTGCAAAATTGCTTCCATGTGGTCCATTACAGGTCTGTGGCGGTGACGAGCTCGAACCACTGCCTCAAAGCATCACTCAGGGTCTCTGGGAGGGCGTTCACATTTCGCAAAATAATGTAGAAGGGGAAGGGGAATTCCTCCATGTAGGACCGAATCTCTGGCAGTTCACCCGGCCCTTTAAATATGGGCACTTTAATATCCAATATGGAGTCCTAGCATGGAGAGAATCGAGTATTAATTAACATGCAATAAAATGTAGGATGTATATTTATTTTATTATTTGAATTATACTTTTAATAATTTTAATAATTACAAAAAAAGTAATTATAATAGTTGCATTACAATAAATAAAATTGCAATTCTAATCATTTATATAGGCTACATAACTGTCAGAAGTAAATAAAAAAAAAAGTAAGAAAAAACAACACTTTAAAATAAATATGGGGATCATATCTTCAAAGTGCTTTTCATTTTTCCTAATTACATACATTTAGATGAAGTAAAAACATAAATAGCCAAATTATTATTATTATTTTTTTTTACTTCAGCTAAACTGCACTGTGAACACAGATCCTTTTGATCCAAACGGATCCCTCACCCTAGAGTTTGGATTATCCAGCACAACAAATATGACAAAGATGTTTGCGCTGCGAGCGGCCTGAACTGCAGCTGCGACTCTCTCTTTCCCCTCCAAGAACAAACCCCGGCCGTCAGATACTACAAGCAGTAACTGAGACGTTTCTGTTAAGAGAAAGGGACAACAAAACAACAATAGAAGAGTGTATTAGATCAGAAATTGATGTAAGAACATAAATAAGACCTAGAACTAAGGGCTTCTTTGTTTACAGCAATCTGATGTAAACTACTTTACCGGTGTTTGTCGAGCCAGGTATCTGCTGTTTGGCTGCCATGAACATATTTGTTGAAGTCTCTAAAAACTGAAAGATAACATTTTTCCTAATTACTTTTATGTTGGTGTGGGATAAAAATATAACAAAATAATATAAAGACATGTAAAACATAAGAACTAAAGACAAGTTATTTACTTGAGCTATTCTGGTCTTTTTCTGCTGGAACTGACAGAGCCGCAGTATTTTTGCTCCTGTTTGGTCATTGAACTGCTGGTGGAAAGGATGGAGCAGCTGGACACTCTCTCCAAAACTACAGCAAGAGAATTAAAAGATGATTAACTGAGTGAGTGAATACATGCATGAATGAGTTAATCAACCAGGAATTTAATCTTGAGAGAATCTTTGCACCAATATTTCTGTGGTCTGTGGAAAAATAATCTGAACTCACCTGCACACAGCCACCTGGCCCGCTTCCAGAAGTGTGAGAGCGTTCACTATGACAGAGACCGACTCAAACGCCAGCTACAGAGACAGACACATTATCAAACATATGTTTATTAAAAGGTAACGTCCTTCCATTTTAAAGGATTCACATTACGGGGTGTTTCAATATACCGATAATACATGAAGACAACTGTGAAAAAATGACATTGATATCAGGTTAATACCACACAAATTATAATATTGAGAAGAATCCAACAGCAGTAACTATATGGTTGACACTCCAACATAGTTAGCCTGACTACGTCAGACTTCGTACTTCCGCTCAATTTCATTTCGCTTCGGTACTTAGTCTGAGACATCGACATGTCTCTCAGTTTTCCTCCGGCCTGAAAACAGACGGCCAATCAACGAACAGAGGGCGGGCTGAGAGCCGTGACGTAGACGCTAAGCGCCGAGTTTAAGATTGGGGAAATCGAAAACGACCGCGGATATGGAGACACGGGATGCAATTCGCTCTGCTGTGGAGAATATTCCCGGCATTTCCAAACTGAAGCCCGAACAAGAAGAGTGTTTGTTAAACATTTTGAATGGATGTGATGCCGTGGCCCTACTCCCAACAGGTTTAGGTAAAAGTTGAATTTATCAACTATTACCGATCGTCAGTGAGAAACTGGGCAGGCCAAAGGCCGGCAAGGCGATAGTTGTGATTGTGTCCCCCTTGGTTGCACTCAGGATCAGGTTAAGGAGGCAGCAAAACTCGGTCAGCCATGTTCACTCCGGTATTTCGCTCGATGGTTTCGTTTTCGCATCATACATGTGTTTACAGTGGAAGTTCGATGCGGCTGAGCTGGCGAATAACACACGTCATAACCAAACGTTACGTGATTGGCTTACGGGTAACCAATGATTTTATACTTCAGACGCAAACACCTTCCTACACTTATATTTTGAGATTCATTGGTCAAATAAAAAGAAAACAAAATAAACAAAGCTAAAGATGAAGCATTTTTTTTCATTTCTATAAATATTGTGAGAATATTGTTAAAAGTAAAAAAAAAAAAAAATCTTTGCAATAATCGTGTAGTGAAACTCAGATATTGTGACAGCCCTACTTCACATGTATTCAGCAGGTGATATTTAATATCTAAAGCAATATTAGGATACTGCACCTGTTTGGAGTGGTTGTCCACCATACTGGAGGAGTCGTCCACAGCCAGGCAGATCTGGTAGTTTCTCTTGCTGGGTTTTGTTCTCCTCAGCCAGATC